CTTCCCCCTTCCCTTGTCTATTGTGAGCTGCCCAGAGTCCTTCGGGAGTGGGCGGCATACAAGACAAATAAATACAAATACAAATAAATAGCTTATTTACTGATCTAGAAATAACATATAAGGGAAGGAATTACAGACTTATTAAATCTTCAGAAGCAGGGGTAGGTTCCGGCAGCCGGTTTGCTCGTGTGTGTACCACTCCCGCATATGCAGTACAATTAGTGCACAGAACTGAAAAACAAGATGGCAGCACCTATGGCGCCACCCGGAGAACTGGTTCAAGGGCGTGGCAGGCCTGGGTCGCTGCTGGTTCCAGCGACCCAGCCGCCAAACCACTAGGTTTGGCCGAACCAGCTGAACTGGTAGGAACCCACCACTGCTCAGAAGATAAAGATACTTTTTATTCTAACAAGTTTTGCCTCTATTGGAATAAAAACCTGAATTTAAAACTCCTGCAGACATTACACTGCAAATTTAACAGTTTTAACTTTTTCCATAAAGAAAATAAGACTGCTACCTCTTCTTGGAAGAGATTTTGTCGATTCTTCAGAGCTCTTAGTCGGTTCTGTTTGTCTTCATGCTCTAAGTGCTCATCTGGTGGGTGGAAGTAACCAATCAAGTCCTGAAGGCTAAGGCTGACTGATTCGATGGGTAAATCAACTATGGAAGACTTAGCTTTCTTGCTGAGAGCATCAAGGCCCCTAAGGTTAATGTAAAAGTCCACTAATTAGACATACATTTTCATCTGCTTCTTAATGTTATCATTACAATATCCCAATTTAACCAGATAATTAACAAATACATGTGTCTCAGTTTTAATAAGGAACCAGCACTAAGTAAAATGAGTGTATCCTCCAGTCCAATTCTGATCTACAACTCTGGAAATAACCAAATAGTTTGCTCTGGAGATAATCTAGTATAATCTAATTATGATTATGATTCAAAGAACTGGAGTAGCAGTCTTCCATGTGAAAAGCACAAACAGCTGCAATCCCCACCCCCCACCCCAAATATCACAATGACTTTTTCAGGCAAACTAAAAAGTTGTGAGGAAAGAATTATATTAAAGTTATATAAAACTGGCATAGTGGTTTTCAAGACAATTCTTTTAAAATTTAGCATATGTTTATTTTTGGGGAACAGCAAAGTACTTCACATAAGGAAGTCTTCATAGAATATACTGTGGCTGACATAGTACCATTCAAATACCTCATGTTCAAGTAAAGCAAATCCAAAATGGAGTTTTGTGAAGATTCATGCACTCTTCTATTAAATAATCTTATTAAACTGTTGGCTTCAGAATGTTAAATATGACAGAAAGAAAAAGTGAGAGAGTAGTATACATATACCTTATGAACCTGTTGAAAAGGAAGACAGTACTGCGAATTACTCGTGCTGTACGTGATTCTTCATGCTGAGATCTGGATAATGTCAATCCATCATCCATATGGCCCTCATGGTGCATGATGGCCTGCAACAACAACAAAAAACCAATGGAGAAAACCATGCTAATGCTTGATGAATCTTTTGTTCATCCTAATTCTATTTCTCTGGATGTCTCAATCCAGGTCTATCAATTATTTATCAATGATTTATAGCAATGATTCATAATTCTATGTCTTAAAGCTTACTTTTGAAAAGTGTAAAGGTTATTCACCCATTGTTTTGTTTGAGATCTGCAAACATTGTTACTTCACTACAGAAAATAATGGATAAAATCCATTTGTTGCCAATACAGTATAGGCAAATCCTTATATAACTATGAATTCATCGTCCAGCCAAATAATCCAGTCTTGAGAGTAAAAACAAAATAGTTCTGAAGCATTCCCATACGCCAATTAAATCAAAGGAGTGCACTGCTTAAAATTCAGAATAAATTATGACCTATCTGGAATGGCAATTTATAGCTAACAATAGCAACCACTTCACAATTTGTGATTAAAACCTTTATTCTCCAGATGTTTGTTTGTTTGTTTGTTTGTTGGATTTATAATGAGGTTTGCTCTTTGTGAACTGCTTATAGGTCGACCAATACATAAGAAGAATATCCTGCATACATCCTTTGATAGATTTCATTTTGCATAGTAGTATCTACTTGTCGTTCACAAGACAAATTTTGTATTATATAGTGAACCTTTTAAGATTTTCTTTCATGGAACAATTTTTGTTAAATTCTTCTAAATGCATTCTCAGAGATACTAAGACCTCTGTATTTGTTGTTCTGAAATCCTGTACATTTGCCGTAAGGGTAAAATCAACCAGTTTTTTTTCTTTTTTTCTGAATACATAGTTAACTCATGAGTTTTATCTCACCAGTTAGGTTAATATGGGGTTGCATGGTTCCAAAAAAATTCCTGTGTAATTTATGTGAAAGTTTTCTACCATTACTTCACTCCACTTTACATGTAGTCCTCAACTTTCGGCAATAATTGAGCCTGGCAATTATGGTTATAAGCCATGATGGTCAAAAATCGGCTCATCACCTGACCAACCCAATTTTATGACTTTTTTGGGAGTGACTGTTAAGTGCTATAGCGCATTTATTTCTGGAAACCAGAAGTAAAAGTTGCTTTCCAGCAAAAAAAAAAAAAAAAAAAACCATAATAAATTGCTGTCAGATAACCACGAGCAATGTCAGAACTTCAAAACTGAGTAGTAAGTTACAACAGTAGGGTCTGTTGTAACTTCACATAATCACTAAGTGACCAGTTGCAATTTGAGTACTACCTATAATACGTAGTCTATTTCTTGAATCAAAATCCATGGGTTTATTTTCTTTAATCATCCGGGTGTTTTGTTTACCTACACAGATCCAGGCAATATTGTATGTTCAAATAAAGTTTTTCCTACTAATGCATATCTGTTGAATACAAATTAATTTCATAGTTGACATTGTGTACCTTCTGACTCTCCGGTTGTTGTTGTTTTTTTGTTTTATAGGAGGTTAGATGTTAGAATGCTGTTTTGAAAACAATGGCAGTAATCAAGCAGAAACTACAAAATATTTGGTGGAAATCACTACAGAGTATTTGTGCCAAGCTCAGAACAATATGTTCTTATTGCCAAGACTGTTAAACATGCAAATATTTATAGGAAACTAGAGATATTTGTGGATTTCAAAGGTAGCATCACTGATTAATTTTCTATTTACTTCTGCCAAAAATGCACTCTTGCATATATTTTTTTCTATTTTGCCACAATTGAAATTATTTTCAGTAATTTTGTAAATATCCCATTTTCCTCATATGTTAGGCAAGTTTATGTAACTCTTGTATTGTATAAAACAAGTAAAACATAATGTTAAGAAAAATGAAAGAAATTTCTTTAATTATTATTTTGCTGAACTCTAGTAAAAATTTCTCATATAACCAAAACATGTTTATATCAATAAAAATAAAATATAGGTAATTCTTGCTTAATTCTTGCTGTTTAGCAACCAAAGTTATGACAGCACTGAGAAAGTAACTTTATGACCTGTCCTCGTACCTACGACCACCACAGAATCCCTGCAGTCACCTGATCACCATTTCAATGCTTTACAACCAACTTCCAAAAAAGCAGAATCGATGGGGAAACTGGAAGTAAAATCACATCATGATCACATGATGTCTTGCTTACAGTAACAACTGTAGTAGAAGTGAGGTCGTAAGTCTGTCATATCAGACAGTGAATCTATGTGTGTATAAATATATGAATATAAGCCTATAAATAAAAATATTTGTAGCACAGGGTTGAAATGAGGGGTCCTTGGTGCTGTTTGAGCTTGGTTATTTTCTTGCAGACATTTCATTTCCCAAACTAGTTAACATCATCAGTAGTAGTCACAATAGAATAGAAGCCTTCCAGTCCAAAAATCATGTGTTTTGGGGAATTGGGATTGAGCTCTTATGTAGTATAGTTCTAATGATCATTGAGTGACAAACACATTGAAATTGAGTTCTGGATAAACTTTAAAATAATAGAATAGCACAGTTGGAAGGGATCTTCTACGTCATCTAGTCCAACCCTCTGCTCAAGCAGGTGACCCTATATCATTTCTGACATGGGATTGTTCAGTCTCTTCTTGAAAGCCTCCAGTGATGAAGCACCCACAACTTCTGAAGGCAAGCTGTTTCATTGGTTGATTGTTCTCACTGTCCGAAAATGTATCCTTATTTCTGGGTTGACTCTCTCCTTGATCAGTTTCCATTCATTGTTCCTTATCTGGCCTTTGTGTGCTTTGGAAAATGGATTGTCCCACCTCCTCTCTGTGACAGTCCCTGAAATATTCGAATATTGCTATCATATCACCCCTGGTCCTTCTCTTCACTAGACTAGCCATGCTCAGTTCCTGCAATCATTCTTCATATATTTTAGCCTCTAGGCCCCTAATCATCGTTATTGCTCGTCTCTGCACTCTTTCTAGAATCTCAACATTCAGCATTAATTTCCTTGTCATATCAAAATTATATTTAATATAATAACCTTGTTTTAAACACCTTACCTTGCGCTGCACAGATCCCATTCTTACAGACTTTGCATCCACTGATTGGTAGGTAAGCCACAAACCTGTGTCTACATGTTGTATAAAGCAGACTGAATCTCCATACTTTATTTCTGGGGTTCCCATGCCATCCACTTCTTTTCTTATCCCTACATCTAATTTCTCCTACAAGGAAAAAGAAGTCAGTTGTTATCTACAAAACCATTTTGAAAGGTTAAAGTTTTTACCATGGTAAGCACGCTTAACGTTACAAATGATAATGCTTAGTCTATGAAACAAGATTAATTTCAATAGTACTTAAGTACACTTATTTTCCAGATGCAGGTAATCTTTAAAGAAAAAGCAACTACTCCAAGCACATAATAAATGCATATAGTTCTCTTTTTTATTCCCACTTTCCTTTATTGTTACTAATACCAATTCTATGCCTGAATTCTGTAGTTCTTCTATCTAAATCATTACATATTCATAGTGTTAATATTGTACTGTACATGCAAACTAGAATTTCAAAGTTACATGCCAGTTTTCTATATCACATCTATGAATTGTTTTAATGACACATTCCATAAACACCTGTGGCTTTGTTTATATAGGTGTGATAAAATAGGGTTCTCTTCAGCTTTGGTATTTTTTGCAGGAAATGGCTAATGTCCACATTAAAAAAAAAACCTTTGGTTTTGGCAACATTTTTCTAATAAACTAATAAGATTGTTATTCCATCAAAAAGCTAGAACATATTACATATTAAGATTATTTCATGCATTCTTAGAACTTTTAAAATACGTAAATATAAGATGCAAATCTGAAATGAAGCAGTATAGAGCTTTATATTAAAGCTGATACATTTTAGTTTAGCCTACTAAAAACAGTAGACTAAAAAGGGTCTGGAACATAAACATAAAAATGAATAATATTTAAAAATGCAATTTCTGTATTGAAGAGTAACAGCCATTTGATTTGATGGAGTTTATTGCAAATAAATTGGTATAAGATTATAGTCTGAAGTTATACATCTTTTCTCCAAAGCTTCTGGTAACTTTGATTAATAACAAGCACTTGTTTCAGTCTAAAAAAGCCAAGCATTCATCTAAACCCACTGTTAAACTGTACATCAATGATCCCAATCTTTACGGGCTTGGCGATCTGGCTTGGAGGGTGGGGGTAGAGAGGAACTAGGCCACGCAAGTGGTGAGCCGGCACATACATGTGCGCACTTGACTTATCAAGCAGTGAGTCGGTACACGCATGCACATGCACACTCAGCTTGACTTCAAGTTGAATTGCACATGCATGTGCACGGCGCACCACTCATGTCAATCAAGCTGCATGTGCACACACATGCAGATGTGTGCACCAGCCCATGCCCCAGTTGCAAATTGGACACGGCCTGGTAGTGGGCCATGGCCCAGGGGATGGGGACTAGAGGCGGGTTTCTGTCAGCATTACTGCCAATTCAGCGACCCAGTCACCATTTCCACTACCGGTTCACCCAAACCAGTGTGAACCAGTAGCAACCCACCTCTGATGGGGACCCCTGCTGCACATAATAAAACAGTTGGATAATCAAAGATGAATAAAT